CAATGCGCACAAAAACAACTATTGCACAGAAAATGGCAGCAGATTATGAAGAAAAAATACTAGAATTTCATAGGTTTGTTATAAATGCACGCAAGAAAACTTCTTTTGAGCTCGGTCAAGTAGGAAATATGGATGAAATTCCACTCCCATTTGATGTACCATTCAACAAGACTGTGAGTATTAAAGGGTTTAAATCAATAACCATGAAAACCGCAGGTCATGGAAAAAACCTGATATACGGTAGTTCTAACAAGTTGTGCTGATGGCACAAAACTACCGCCGTTTTCCATATTCAAAAGAAAAACTCATCCGAAAGAAAAGCGGACGAAGATGGAATGAAACTGTGGTTACAGAACGTATGGGTGAGACGACCTGGTGGACTCAAGAAAAACCTTCTCTTTTGGTTTTGGATCAGTTTAGCGTCCATAGAACTGAAACCATTGAAGAATAAAGCGAGAGAATTAAAAACCCAGATAGCTGTCATTCATGGTGGACTGACTAGCCAATTGCAGACTTTAGATGTATCAGTGAATAAGCCATTTAAGGAAAAAGTGCGAGAACGATGGAACAAGTGGATAGGAGAGCCACCTCACACCCTCAGGTAGAATGAAGCGGCCCTCTATTTCACGAGTGTGCGAGTGGGTAAAAAGATCTTGGGAGAACATAAAGGCTGAAAATAATTGTGAAGTTCTTTAAGAAGTGCGGAATCAGTAATGCTCTTGACGGTTACAGCCGAAAACATCGCGGCAAAAACATCGCGGACAAAAACGTCGTGGAGAAAACAACGCAAGGCGAAAACGTCGTGATACAAAACATCGTGGGAGAAAACATCGCAGTTCTAAAACATTGTGATACAAAATATCGTCGTCCAAAAGAAAGCGGTTAAAAAATTTCGCAGTTTAAAAACATCGTCGTCGAAAATATCGTGGTAAAAAATAAAGTATCTACAAATCATCGCATGACGATAACATCGCAGAGATGCTTTTTTCAGGCTTTAATAATTGTAAATGGATATTTCCATAATGATTTGTGAGCGCAAGATGGAAAGAAGGATATTCTTTACTTTCATATCTCTTTTATTAACTAATAAATTTTTGCTGAAAAAGTAATAAGGAAATTTAAGCATAGAAAATTAAGGCAACTTATAGCACTTAATATAATTTTAAACCGACATAGTTAACTAACAAAGGTCATTAATAAATCATTTTCTATAAAGTTTGTACTGGTAATTTTTCATTAAAAGTATAATCTAAAAATGTTTAGAAAAAGGAAGCTACGTAACTGCATGAACTTATCTATAAAAAATTGCTAATTATGAGATTATTTTCTTCACTTTTGTCAATCTAATACTCTTAATGAAAATTATTTCTTCTTCTGCTTGAGTTTATTCTTAAGTATTAAGTTTCCTTCTTATTTTTTTAGCAAGAATAAAATATGAAAGTAAAAATTATCTTTCTTTCCATCTCGCGCTCACAAATCATTATGGGAATATCCATTTACAATTATTAAAGCCTGAAAAAAGCAGGTCTACCATGTTATCGTCCTGCGATGATATGTTGATACATTATTTTTTGCCGCGATATTTTCGACGACGATGTTTTTAAACTGCGAAGTTTTTTAACCGCTTTATTTTCGACGACGATATTTTGTACCACGATGTTTTAGAACTGCGATGTTTTCTCTTTGCGATGTTTTCTCCCACGATGTTTTGTAGCACGACGATTTCGCCTTGCGTTGTTTTCTCTGCGACGTTTTCGCCCGCGATGATTTTGCCGCGATGTTATCGGCGGACACCGCTCTTGACGGAACAGAGGACGATGCATTATTCGAAAAAGGTGATACTAGCGATGACAGAAACAGTAGTGATGACGATATTCGCGTTTTTGATGATGATGATAGTGAAAAGGATTTTTATGGTTTTGAAAGTGATTAAAGCCTAATTTCATGATAAGCAACGTTTTCCTTGAATCTGTATTTTTTGTTCTTTCTGCTTTATTTTGCATTATGTTTGATTGCTTGCCGTTCATTCATTTAGTCATTATTGAAATTTACATATCATGTTCAAAATAGCTTGCCGTTTGTTAATTTTCCTTAATAAAAATATGTTTGGTAATTGCATTCAATGATTGTTTATTTGGCTTTTACGAAACGTGAGAACTAAAAGAAACCACATTTTAAGTTATGGGTACTGCGCTCTCGCGCGGACTATTGAAACTTTTTTCCTTGTGTGTGGACTTCTAAATAAGGGTGCGAAAAAAATCTGCAGGTTTCAGATTTTAAATTACGTTCAAAGGGGCATTTTTTTAACATTTTGTTTTTTAACATTAACTTATTTATTAAATATCATGTTCTTTGCACTTAAACTATAAAATTCAGTTCAATAGCAATGTCGCAAAATAATTTTAAAACGAGCATATCTTTAGAATTTCCAATGCACAGTTCCGCACGCTGGAGATAAAAAAAGCTTCCCCCTTCCTCCCCGTAGAGTGTTGCCGTTTGCTCGCTTTGAAATTCTTGAGTTTGTTAATCAAAATTTCATTAAAGTTTTACAAAATATGGAATCAATAATAAACCAAATTTCAAATTTGCTCTTCCCCATGCCCATATTCGTAGGGGGATTACGTCACTTAAGATTCGATGGCTCTATGTACAGTTGTCGCGGGAAATATACATACATTTATGCAGATTTTTCATTATTTAATTTCTTCAAATATAATACAGGACTCTAACATTCGGTGGCAAAAGTTTTAAAAGTGAAACGGACATTTATAGTGATTCAACGCAAAATCACAAAACGAAAACAATAGTCCTTCAGGGACAAAGCCCCTTTGGACTGTGCGTTGGCCCAGAAATATATAAAAGAATCATTGCTGCAAATAAATGTTTTTATGCCCTGAAGAGTTAACCTCCAGTTTTCTTAAATTAAGAACTAAATTCTTTCTTTACAAAAGTCTTATAAGATCTGTCTTGAATTATGCATCAAAGACTTCAGCATTGACTTTGCGTGATGAGGAAGCTCTGGCGATTTTTGAGCCCAGGGCTGTTGAGTCATTGAAGAAGAATAACTTTTAAATATGGAGCATTTCTTAACACGTGCTAATGCTTTGCACACCTACATGCAAGGCGATAATTTAAGAAAATTATTTTACTAAGTTATTATTTATTTTAATAAATTATTTTAATTGTAGTTTTTAAAAAATATTTTAAAACTTTTTTTGTATTTTTTTTATATACAGTATACATATATATATATTACAGTATATATTTCTTTAATTTTTATAACACACAAATACGACACTAAAGTAAAAAGCGGAAAGGAAAGATTTTACAGATTATCCTTTTATGATCTTTTTTCTGGTCATTAACTACTGAAGAGTTTTCGCCAGTAGATCGCCTTAAAGTGCACTAGGCAAAGATACTACATAAATGGTACTAGGGAAGTACCAACACCTGTGGACGAAGAAAATTCAGCTGTGTGAGCAAGCATATCTTAATACTTACGAAAGTAGGCGTTCATCATAAAAATTGTGTAGTGATAAGCAATGGCATTAAATTGAAGCATGTAGGCAGGTTCAGTGAGTTGTATGGCAAATGCAGATGGTGAGTGCAATATAGCTACAGGATGAGCAGTAGTGAGACATCATGAAAATGGCACGAAGACAGTTTGAAGCTGAGAATGGCATAAGAGTTCAAAGTCCTTCAGAAGTAGGCAGTAGAAAGACAGGCCATAAAAAGTTCAAAAGTTTGTAGAATTATACGATAAAGTCTTGAATAAAAGAAAGTTTCTTGATTAACATAAGTATAAGATGTAACACAAATAATGGGATAAAGTTCAATTTCTCTATCGGAGAAAATTAAGCAAAGTTCATGATCTGTAGTCAGTGCGAAAAACATTCAGAGTTCAAGTGAATTTTAAAATTAAAATTTAGAAGTTACCACCATGACGAATTGTCCTTGGGCGTTTGACAGTGTATTTCAATGGTTGGATTCAACAATTGTTTAATTACATTATATTATACTGACTATGCTTCATCTTCTTGAAGAAGTTGTGAGCTGTCATGAGTACGAAGTTATGCACAGATGGAATATCCAGGCCGTTATGAATTATAGAGTTTCTCACGTACCAAGGTGCATTCACAATGCTACGTAGAATTTTATTTTGAAGTATATCCAATTCTTTGCGCTCAGTTTTATTGGCGATTGCCCATGCCGGCACTGCATATAGCATGATCGGTCGAATTAGAGATATGTAAAGCATTTTCTTTATTTTTAGACTGAGCTTCGATTTTTTGCCGATAATAGGATAAATTGCCATGTAGGCTGCATTTGCTTTGTTTAAGATATAAGAAATATGATCTTTGAAGTTGAGAGATTTATCTATGTAAACACCTAAATATTTATAGGAATTAGCTACAGGAATTAGAGTTCTATCTAAGTAGATATCAGTGTTGACTCTTAATCTTGTTTTGTATCTCCGATAGAGAACAAACAATACAACATTTATAGGTGTTGAGCTTAATTTCCCAAGTCTTCCACCAGGATTGATCATACTGAGATACATTTGTAAATTACTTAGAGCAAGCTGGGAATTTCTGGATTCAGTTAGTGTATTTGAGTATTTTCGTGTTGAATGGGTGCGGGAAATCATTGATGATATAAGCATTATAGAACCGGGAGGAAAGAACGGACCCTTGCAGGACCCCGCTCTGAATTGTGTTTCTGACAAATAATGCGTTATCGCAGCGAACTTGAAAAGTCCTGTTTTTCAGATAGGAACTTGTATCTAGCGGTGTGGGTTCAGTGAAATGAATGATGCAACCAAAACAGACTAGTTCACGGCACAAACATTTATTTCTAACTAACTCATAAGACAGCAGCGATGCGCTATTTACGCAGTTACATTACATTCTACTCTACTCTCGTTCACAGAGGTTCTCGGCTATAATAGTACTGATACTCTCGAAATCAGATGCTACATCCCTCCCCACTTATTTAGAGATTTAATCTTTGCGGATGCACGAAGATCGTCTAAGTCCTGGCTGAGGTTGCTGCAACTCTTTATCAGGATCCACTGGAAGGACTGGATTAGTTTTCCTTGGAACTGACGATGTTTCAAGTCCGGCTGAAGTTTGCACAGCTTCACTTCTTTGTTCAATGCCCTTGTCCGGAGCCTGTGGCTTCACGTTTCCATCTGAAGTAGCAGCCATACGAGGTTCATAAATTATCGGTGCAGACGGAACCTCGCTCCCTACCGATCTGATCTGATCGACGTGCTGGCGCAGTAAAGTTCCTTGAACGTCAATGGTATAATGCAGCGCTCCATCCTTATTTGTCACTCTGCCAATTTTCCATCGGGAATTTGCCGATCTATAATCCCGAATGGCAACCTTTTCTCCGATCTCAAAATTTCTGTCTTTGAAATCATAAGTATTCCTTCGGATGCGTTCTTCCACTCTTCGTTTAAGATTTGGAACAACTAAATCAATTCGAGTTCTAATTTCTCTTTTTAAGAATAACATTGCTGGACTTAACAAGGTTGTCATGTTCGGTGCCTTTCTATAATTCATGAGGAATATGGCAAGTTTTTGCTTAATATTTCCTGGATAACCTTGCATTGCACGTAATGCTTGTTTAACGGTGTAAACGTACCGCTCTGCTTGCCCGTTACTTGCCGGTTTAAATGGAGCACACGTTTTGTGTTTAATTCCATTATTCCTTATAAAAGTTTCAAATTCCCCCGATGTGAACTGAGGACCATTGTCACTCACTACTACTAAAGGCAGTCCGTATCTTGCAAAACAGTCTCTCAAACATTCAATTGTCTGAAAGGAATTTGCTGACTTTAAGGTATACACTTCTAAGCCATTTAGAATGTGCGTCAATGATAATCAAGAACATTCGTTCAAAAATAGGGCCTGCAAAATCTACGTGAATGCGTTCCCAAGGCGCACTTGGATATTCCCAGTGATGGACCCTTGCCCTTACTGGATCTGATTTGAACTTAATACAATCGACACAGTTCCTAGAAACTTCTTCAATATCATGATCAATTCCCTTCCAAAAGACGTAGGATCTGGCGATTGCCTTCATTTTAACGATTCCTAAATGTCCTTGGTGTAACTCTTCGAGAATTTTAACTCGGAGTTTTTTCGGAACAACTACCCTCTGACCACTCATTATACAGTCATCTTGTAAGGTGTACTCGGCTTCCCTACCTTCCAAACTTTCTCCAGATTTTAATTTCATATAAAGACTATTTAATTCTTCATCAGCTCGCGTTTCCCGAGCTATCTCCCTAGCTGTTACCGGAAGAGTTTCAATTTGGGAGAGTTGGAATATTTCAACATCATCCTTAATGCTTAAATCTTCGGACTTAAGAGGCAGGCGCGACAGGCAGTCAGCATTACCGTGTTCCTTGGTATTTCGATACACAATATCAAACTGATATGCTTGCAATATCAGTGCATAATGTAAGAGTGGCTGTGAGGATAGGAAGTCCTCTTTTCGAAAAATAGCCACTAAAGGTTTATGATCTGTCACCAGAGAAAATCGTCTCCCTTTAGATATAGATAAAACCTTTTGACAGCCCAAACAATTGACAGTGCTTCTTTATCGATTTGGGCGTATTTCTGCTCTGTGTTAGTCAGTGTCCTCGATGCGAATGCTATAGGCCTTACTGTTCCGTCAGACAAAACATGCGAGAGCACTGCCCCAAGACCTACCAGAGATGCATCAGTAACTAGCATTAACGGTAATGGGGGATCGTAATGCATTAAAACTCTGTCTGAACAAATTTCCTTTTTTAGTTTTCAAAAGCGATTTGACAGTTTTTTGACCAACTCCATTTAACATCTTTTTTTGTTAAATTATTTAATGGATGTGCCAAAGTTGTCAGATTAAGGCAAAATTCGGCATAAAAATTCACTTTTCAGATAGGAACTTTCAGATAAGTTTTACAGATAGAACTTACAAAACTGTTTGGAAGCATAAAATTATTCAATTTATGCAGGAAACCTGCATCCCATACTCTATCAAAGGCCTTTTTGAAGTCGAGGTAGCATGCAGCCAAACCATTTTTCTTAGTAAAGGTTTGCAAAATAAATTCCAACAAAACAGATTATCCTGGAAATTATGTCTATATTTTAAGTTTCATTTTCATGTAAAAGATTGGTTTTAAGTATGCATAAATAAATAGAATAATTGAAATGTGTGCTTGGAAAGTCGTCAACAAAGATTTTGAGTATTTTCCTAGTGTAACAAGCACAACAAACATATATATCTCTCAGATTTTTCTTTTCACAATAATAATAAATGTTCTACTCATAATTAATTGAGCTGTGAAAGCAAAACAGTAAGTAAACTAAAGGAGGGGGGAGAGACTAGCTCACCATGCAACAGTTCACGTTAAAGTGTGATCATATTATGTTACAAGTCATCTATTTTATACATTTAACTTTATATGATTTTCCATTCAACTAAATATTTAATAACAGGATTTGACTTTTAGTCAGATTTGTGGTAGCAAGTTTTAAAAATAACAATGCAGAATTTAAATACTTTTTTTTGTAAAAAATATATTTCAGGGTACCCCTTGGCGAAAATTGGCGATTTTTTGGTGCCATTCCTGTTTATGCCCAACTCCCTCCCCAGTAAAATGGTGTCCAAAACGTAAGGCAATAAAACATAATTAAAACAAAAAATATATAATATCAATACAGTGCATTTTAAATCAAACAGGAAAATAACATAAGAATGGAAATACATGTTATTTAATCTACGCAGTACAAAAAGGAAATATTAATTTATTTAAAAATTTCTGTTCCTTCGTTATGTGTGACACACAGAATTGTTTAACAGCATCCAAAAACTATTTAAAATTATCTAAACTAGAATCGGTATACTGCCATGCCCACATTAATTCAAAGTAAAAATAAAAAATATTCTCCGTACTGCCAGTAGCATTTCTTTCAAAAACCCCTTTCTATTGCACCCCAACATATCTTCCATAGTGTTAATATGAGCTAGAGCTACAGTTTCCAAATCCTTAAATCTCACTGTGTACCAAGAAGTAAATGAAGTCATTTAAATCTTCATTTACGCACCCATCAATCAATGTTTTCTTACCCAATTGTTCCAGAGTGTATGGAAACTTCAGGTTAATCGTACCACCAGCAGAGTTGTACGGTCAACTATTCATGTTACCATAAATGAAACAATAACTTGATGATAAATGAAACAACTTGGTGATATATGAAACAACTTAGCGATAATCCAAGGAGCACCCTAAAATATAGACTAACCCCTTTTTTATCATTGTTCATTTAAGTATACTTTTTGAAAACATAAGTAGTATTTATAACATGGAAAATTATATATATTTAGTATATATATAATTCTAAAGGGTAAAAGTATATTTTAGGGAACCCCTTGGCGAAACTTGGCTATTTTTGGCGGTAGATGGATACTGAGTTTGTGCAATTCTTTGACTTGTTATTTTGGCTTGTGTAAAAATCGCCGCTACACAAATCCAAGAGAACAAGAGAAAGAATTGCACAAACTCGGTATCCATGTAAACATCGACCTATTTTCACTTTTAAAAAAAAAAAATCCCAGAATTGCACAAAGATGGCATTGTGCACTCCCTTGACTTTGTGCATGTATACAACGAACTATATTCACTTGAAAAGTCAAAGGAACAGCCAACAAAAAATATATAATCTGAATAAACTACATTTTAAATCAAACAATGAAATAACATAAAAAAGGGAAGGAAATATCAACTTACCTTATTTACGTATTTACGCGTCTTCAGTCAAACAAAATTTCTTAACAGCATCCAAACACTTCCTAAAATTATCTGAACTAGAATCTATATCCTGGTGTTGCTACAAAAATTCACAAAAAATAAGAGTAAAAAGTTCAACCATACTCATTTCCTTCCTCCAAACAGGACACTTTATAATGGCTACTAAGTAAACCTTCATTTACACATCAGTCAATTAATGCTGCCACATAGCAAATTTACCGTGTAAACCACAAAATACCAATGTATCCAACACACACAAGCCCTTACGCAAAATCCGACACTTTCCAAATTTTTTCCCATGATTCAAATTCACCACAACCAATTACATCATAATAGGGTTTGAGTTGTTGTTTTATTTATGAATGGAAAATTCATAATAAAATAAAACAACAACTCGGCGATAAATGAAATACAAGGGTCGCGATATTCTAAAGTCAACTCTAACCTTCATTCATTCATTATCTTTATTGCCGGGATGTTGCTGTTTTAACGCTACGTTTCCGGCTCTTGACACTTTGGCCCTGAAGGCACATGAGGGTGAGTGACAATGACAAGGTGAAAGGAGGCTTGGAGTGGATTCATTAATTACCTGTTTAGCCGGAATATTGCTGTTACAACGCAATGTTTCCTGCTCTTGACACTTAAGCCCAGAGGGCGCATGACAGTGAAAAGTCTAGCCTGGTAGGTGGGAGGAGTCAGGAGTTGGAAAGAGGGAGGTGACAGCAGGACATCACAAGTGGAGGAGGAGCTTTAGTTTTTTCGAACTGGAGATGAAACACATCAGCAAGTCCGATCCATAAGGTGGCGCCATCCACCGGTGCCATAAAAGACTAAAGAGAAGAGTAGTAATTCATGTTACCAAAAGCGAATGAAATTTAAAAGTCCAGTCGAATTAGTTCTTCAACAATTCCCAAAAACTGAAGAATGTTTTCTTGGAGAGATGTTACTTGTTTACATTTCTTAGTGAATTCAATGAACTTGAGGATCATATTCTTGAAATTTTTATCCATCGCGAAATCCGCTAAGTTTCCACGTAAAACAGCTGAATTGGATTTCGTAGGAGGCTGTCTTTTTTCACGCGCAGAATTCTCAGGCGCCCTTCGATCAGATCTTTGTTTAGGCTCTGGAATTTGTTTCTTCTTAGCTGGTTGTTCACGATTTTTCGGACGAAATTCGCATGACTTGGATGTGGCGATATGATCCAGCTTGCAATGAAAGCAAGTTGGTTTTTCATTTTCTTGAGTTGACATGTGTAAGTCAGATGATTCTGACCATATTTCATCCATCTTGCTTCATTGTTACAGAAAGTCTGTCCATCTTTGGCATCTGAAGCAGATTAACGTGCTCGGATTATATCTGCATTTTCTGAATCTGACCTTTAAATCCAGCAGTGTTTTCTTTCGGTAGATATTTCTACCCACATCGTTTCTTTTAAACGACGCGAAGAAAGTGGGAAGCTTGATCGTCTTATTATCAATTTTTCTAGTGAACCGAAACCTTCTAGTTACCGAAAACCTTCTTTAGTAAGTTCCTCCTTGATATCAGCAACAGAGGAGTCTTCAGTTAGTCCTCGGATAACCACTTTAATTGGAGTTTCCGTCTTGTTGCGAAATGTACTAAATTGGAGTTCATCCTTCATGAGAACGGACAAGCGCTCTGTCACGAGAATCAGTAAAGAGAAGAGAAGAGTGATTTTCTCTCGAGTTAGCATCCCAACAAAATTTTTCACTCCGTGTTTGTGAAAAAGTCCTCTTAAATCGCTCCAATTTACCTCTGGTCTGGGGCAGATAATTGGTGGCAGTTTTGTTTTCTTAACTTTCGTCACAGGAACATTAGTCATATGATTTTTGTCATTTCCGTCTTCAGTCACACATTCCATAGGCTCAGATGCCGAGGTTGATGCTAAAACTTCAAAATTATTAGATGTACTGACCGACTTGATATCAGGAGTCTTTAACGGGTATTTTCTTAGCAACCCATCCTTCATCATCAGTGGTTTGCGGAGTGTTGCAGTCATCAGTAGTGTGGGAAGCTTCAGTCTTCAGCAACTGGATCTTCTGTCTTCTTTCGCTCCGTCTATTAATCACTTCCGTATAGATCGGATGACCATCTGGAAATTTCAGATCATATAAGGTATCGTGAAAGGCTTTTCTTTCGAGACCTAATGCATTAGTAAGTGCATAGAATATCTTCTCTGCTCTGCGCAACAGGTTTGCCAGTCATCAATTGTAAATTCAGTTCGTCCACAAAACGAAGAGCCTTATACATTTCAACATATTCCGGATGTTGAGGATCATTCACAGGAATCTTAAAAACTTGTTGTAGCATAGGAGAAAGAAAATCTTCACTCGTGAAGACCACCACTCAAATAACTCTAACCTTATATAAGTATAATCAATTTATGGTTTAATTACGATAGCATCTAATTACATAATTTAGAAATTACTACAATTGCATTATATAGAAATAAAATGAAATGGCGCGAAAAGTAAAGGAAAAAAAGGCGTGAAGAATCCGCGGTCTTTAATCCCCGCCATGTATTCTAACCTCCTTGAACTTACTTGCAACAACGATCGGCAAGGCATCAGACAGTGCTGCCATCTAGTTATATAAAGAAGAGTCTATCTCTTGTCTTCTATTCGTAAAAGTCATAGTTAAAATACAAAATAATAAATTAAACATGATGTATTAAGTTAGAAGAATCATTAAAGATTCTATATATTCCATTGGAGGGTTTTCATCCGCAGAGAACCCGTTGGCGCTTCGGGAAAGAACCCGTTGGCGCCGTTGCATTCTTACTCGCGGTTCATCGACGATGAGCCGAGCCGTAAACCTATATATTTTGTAAACGTGATTTTTAGTGCATGTAAATTCAAGTTAGCAGCCAAAACAATATATTAAGCATATGATAGTAAAAATTCACAGATAATAAGCATGTATATCTAAAACTAACCGGTTCAACGTGATATACGAAAATAAATTTGTATTAAATTTAAGTTAGCACAGAAAAGAATATATTATTAAGCATAAGACATATAAGCATTTATAACGGAAATAAAAATTCATTAAAAAATAATAAATTAGTATTAATATACTGAAATTAACCGGTTAAACGTGATATACGAAAAAAATGTGTCTTAAATTCCAGTTAACACAGAAAACAATATATTCCTTACACCAGCAGTGGTTTGCTAATTTTGATGACCATGATGATGCATCAACTAGTCTGTCATCTTAAATAATCAATAATATATTTTTTTATTTCAATTTAATCATCTATTTATGTCACACCTGCCACCCTCTGAAAGTTTATTGTTAGAAAAGCTTTAACAATATATTATCTAGTTAAAATTTTACGCCATAAAAATTGATTTATTCTCATAATGTTTAGATGACATTTTTGCGGCCTACGAAAACAAATTATTTTAGAGGTTGGAAACCTCATGTTTCTTAAAGCTGAAAATAATTAAGAACCAACGCGGACAGCCGTGTTACAAATTAGCATTTACCCCTCCCGCCGTATTTTCTTCCTTTCATCCCGAACCGAGAACCGGCATCTATCTACGAAAATATTTCTATCTATTCGTTGTTAAAAAATTTTATCAAAAATAATCATAAATAAGAGAAGAATAATATACTAAATCTGCAAATGCGAACAACGACAGTGAAAATTCAACAAAATGAACGCAAGAGGAATGGTTGCAAACTTCGAACAAGCGAATTGGTTAATTCCGATGGGTTACCAGGTTTGAACTATTATCGCTAAAATTGGCGATATTTACATTTACCGGGTTCTCTGCGGAAGTGCTTCCAGGATTGGATAATCAGTCTAGTTTTTTCCGCCTATTAGTGAGCGATTCAAACTCTGACTATGCATGATGAAATATTTTTGTTCTTTGCTAATATGCTTTTTACCTTATGTAGAAAAACTGATAATTGCTCCAAGTCAAAGATTTCAAACAAAGTTTCTGTATTTTACTTTCAAATTTTAGCTCTTCTTTTCAACATATATAATGATTCATAAGACGAGATAGCAAGTGGAGGTTGGAGTTGGTGTTGACCAGATTGCAACAATGGGCTAACAATGCATCAATAAGGTGCCGCCATCTACTGGCAGTATTCTGATTTCGAGATGCGTATTTAAAATATCTTCGGCAACGCATTACATGTAAGATGCTCATTTAAAGTACGAAAGCAAGAAGGTTAGAATACATGGAGATCATCAATAAGGTGCCGCCATCTACTGGCAGTATTCTGATTTCGAGATGTGTATTTAAAATATCTTCGGCATCGCATTACATGTAAGATGCTCATTTAAAGTACGAAAGCAAGAAGGTTAGAATACATGGAGATGGAGGGGAGGAAAGAATTCCATTAATACAGTAGAAGTCCAGAAATCCGCAAAGCTTGGGACCAGAGGTTGTGCAGATTTTAGGACAGAAAAGATAAAGCATAATATTCGGACTAAAAGTGCAAAATAAATAAGCCGTATTAGATACATTTAATTAAATTATATACATTACTGGAATAATTTATTATATGCATTGAATTAATATTACATATATAAATTTATTATATTATTCATTGTATTATATGTACACAGCATCAAGGTTTGCCGATTTCTTCTCATGCAAAGATTTCCGGTTTCGGATTCCGGTGTTAGAATCACCGTTGTAAAATTTCAACATCTTTTCTTTATTTTTCCGTATATCATACACAATCGTGTCGCAATTCCATACCATTCTGCTATAAATCGGGGAGTAGCACCTGCCTCCATCTTTTGCAGAATTTGCACTTTTTTGCATTACTGTCAATGCAACGTGTTTACGTTTTTCAACTTTGGAAGCAGTGAAATCATGAGTGCGTTTCTTATCTGTCATTGTATTAAAAAGGGCTGAAATTTAAAATTAATAATTAATTTATCCATAAAATATCAGGATTAAAAAAAAAGGTAGCTCTAAACAATCTCGTGAAATAACAAAGCTCAGAAAATACAACAACGTGAATCGTGAACTTGAACGAAGAGTTGAATGAATCGTCTGCTTTTTTACCTCGATGCGGAGAGTAGAGGAAGAAAACTTTTATCTTATTATTTAAAACTTTTTTTACGTCAATAATTTGGTACTTCCGTTATGACTCATTTTTATTCGGTAATTATGACGTCATTATTTTGGTAAGTATTTTTTCTTGGATATTTCGTACTCATTGTTGCGGTTTCCAGAACCTACAAACTGAATGTTTATATTCTGAGAGGCAACGCGGATTTCAGGAGTTGGCAGATTTCAGGTCGGCCGATTTGTGGTATTTGACTGTATTCAGTCGCGGCTTAGAAACATTCTTCAGGAATGAAGCAAACCTAACCACGCCCAGTTTAGTTTCAGTCAGACGTTAATTAAAGATCGCCGATTCTTCGCGCCATTTAATTTTATTTCTATATAATGTAATTGCAATAATTTCTACATTATGTTATAAGGTGCGCCTTCGTGGTGTAGTGGTTCTGCACGCTGGACCGGAATTCTAGACGTCCGTGGTTCGATTTCCGGCAAAAGCGACGTTAATTTTTATCTCTTTGGCTTTTCCAATTAACCTAATGTCTGTACAATGTAATTGCATGCTATCATTAATAAATGCTAGCTTTAAAAGGATTGTGAACAAAAAAACAGTAACTAAGTACTTAAACGATAACTTGATATAATTCTCAATGTTATAAATACTACTTGTGCATTGAAAAACCTTAACGTGAATGAATAAATAGAACTGTCTTGCATAGAGATAAAGCAATTTCAATAAAGTGCCGCCATCTACCGGCAGCAATCTAAAGTATTTTGATTATGAGACGAATATTTAAAATATCCTGAGCAAGGCATTGTAGCCTTGGCTACTAATGTTTAAAATTAATTTATGACTAGTAACAGCATGAATTATAAACAAATAGCTAAGTTATTGCATTTTATTTTCCAGCTATCGAAATGCGACGCTACGAGCAACGTTTTGAAACCAAAACCTAGCAAACATGAATCAGCACTAGAACTAGTTGCCATTCAGCATAAAGAAATTTAAATATAAATATGAACTACTTATTGCCATTCAGCATAAAAGAAATATAATATTGAATATTAACAAAATATTAAAGTTAATTTTATAAAATAATTAAATATATGAACAAATATATGAAAAAAAAATAATTATTTCTCATGCAATAACTGGGCCACTACACTACTCCCCCACCAGTAACTAAGTTACGTTACGAAGATGGAGAAATAGGTTGTAACTAGTATTGCAGTGT